TAATTTTATAAGAATATTCTCCTCTCCATTATCCAAATAATTTAATGAAAATATTGAATAGTACTGGACTCAGGACAGAGACCCCTGAGACCCCAACAGATATGACCTCCCAGTTTGACGGTGAACCAAGGATAACTACTCTGAGTACTGTTTTTAACCAGTTGTGCATCCATAGAATCATAGACTAGCAGGATTGGAAGGGACCTCAGGAGGTCATCTTGTCCAACTCCCAATCTAGTCCAACCCCCATCTTTATAGCTACTTCATGTAGATCACATCTTCCATAGTTTGCTTATGAGAATGTCATGTAGGACTGTCAAAAATCTTACTAAAATACATCATGTCTACTTCTTTCCCTCCATTCACTAGGCCAGTAACCCTGTCAAAGGAGGAAATTAGGTTGGTTTGGCATGCTTTGTTCTTGACAGATCCATTACTTATCACTCAGTTATCCTCTAGGTGCTCACAAATTGATTGTTTAATAATTTGTTCCAGTATCTTTCCAGTTAAAGATAGGCTGATTGGTCTATAATTCCCTGGGTCCTCTTTGTTCTCCTTTTTAAAAAGTTAGGTATTGTGTTTGCTCTTCTCTTTTCCTCTGGGACCTGGCATATTCTCCTTGAGTTCTTGAAGATAATTGCGTATGGTTCTGAGATTGCTTTAGCTAGTTCCTTAAGTACCACAGGGTAAATTTTGTGAGGCCCTGATGACTTGAATACATCTATCTTATCTAAATATTCTGTAGCTTGTTCTTTTCTTTTTCTGGCTTGTGTTCCTTCCCTCTTGCTAATATTAATTGTGTTAAGCATCTGGTCACAATTAACCTTTTTAGTGAAGACTAAAGCAAAATAGGCATTAAATATCTCTCGTCTTGATGTTGTCCGTTATTGGCTCTCCTTCCCTGCTTAAGTAGAGGACCTACACTTTCCTTCATCTTTCGCTTGTGCCTAATGTATTTATAGAACTACTTCTTTTTGCCTTTTATGTCCTTGTCTAGGTATAATTCATTTTGTCTTAGCCTTTCTGATTTTAAGCAAGTTCCTATAACCTGGCAGGATATTGGTCAGTATGTTATCGCCCATCTGTACATATAGGCAACATTTCTACTACTTCTTTCTACAAACACATTCAGTTAAGGCCTAGCAGAGTTTGAAAAACTGAAATGACCAGTATTCTGTTGGTTATCAGGTAAGTGGAAATGGATAACACTTACTCTGGCTTTCAGTTCCCAAATAGTTTTAATGGCAAATTTTGGTCCTGGCATCTGGGAAGTCACCTGCAGCAACTGCAAGAATATATAATTCTGAAACACATGAAAAACGCTGATAACTAGTGGGACAGAACTGCAGAGGAGAGGTGGGAATGGGAGAGTAGCAACCCTCCTTGTCCAAATATTATAGATTGGAATTAGGACAGAGCAAGTGCAAAATACAGCGAACAATTTCTTTATTCCAGGAATTTCTAACCCACAACAGATTGTGTGTCAACCACTTTTCAGGCAACACAGGTTAAACTTTTCGAAAAGTGTCTGAGTGATAAAGGAGCATTAGAGCTGCTGAAAGTAGCTGAGACTTGTGTTCCTGAGGCACTTTTGAAAAATCCCACTCTCCTACACACAGGATGCACCTACTTCATCTAGCAGATGCTGAGGGGAACTCATGTTGCTATGCCTTGCCCAGAAACCAACTCTAAGGTTTCTTTTCCTTTTGCAGTTTCATTTGAGTAACTGGCTTTGATTCACCCATACTTAAATTTTATACAGCACCTTAGATGCCTGGAGATGGATGGGTCCTTTAGAAAACAAATGAATAAACTATTTCCTTTTTCTGACATTAGGCCAGACCTAACCGTGATTCCTGTGACACCGTGCTAGAGACTTCCCTGAAACTAGTTATGATGTCTGTCTGTCTTTGTTTGCACACAATTAGCAAGCCGGGTGCCCTGTGCTCATGTATGCTTGTCCTATAGACTTCACTTTGAGTGGTGGGTGCCCAGCCCTTCTGCAAACCCAGCCCTTAGTGTTTATGAAGCACTTTGATTCCCCCCACTCTGAAACTTACTATAGATGTGCAAGCTATTGTTCGTTGTTATGCTGACAGTTACCACACAATCAATGTAACTTCAATTGCTAATGGAATAATGGAACAGATTTAAGAGAAAATCTTTGTAAACACCTTCAGGTAAATGGAATGAGGAGTAATAAAACCAACCTAAGTTTATAAAGAGGAGACAATAGTCTTGGGCCTAAAGCAGGTGAATGGCAGACAGGTATCTAGGCTCTACTCTTGGATCAGACTTGATCTGTGACTGTAGAGAAGAATAAAAAAACCCACATCTTTTTGCCCCCAAAACAACCCCCCTGTTGAACCAAAATTCTCTGCTGTGCACACAATTCTCCCCCTGGGGAGAGGATGAGAGCGAATGAACCACATGTGATAGGTATTAGTCATGTCACTTAATGCACCTCTGGAAGTTGCTCAGATACTATGGTATAAATACCTGTATAGAATAGAAGCCACTGAATAATTAAGCTTCACAATAGTCCTGTAAGGTAGTCAGTTTCACTCACCATTGAAATGAGCTACTTCTGAGATGAAATGGGGTAGCTGTTTAAAAGCACACAACAATTCTGCATGACAGGAAGCAGAGGATACTGTGTCCACTTGAAATGACAGGAGGAATTTAAAAAGAATAATGATTTGAGACGGAATTTGCTCAGACATCAGGGCAAACACCCTTACTCCTACAGAGAGTACTATGGGATATTTATATGTGGTCAGACTTTGATAGGCAATATCACAAGTAACACAGTCCCCCTAATACCGTGATGGGGGATTGGTTTAATAGTTATTCAGATGGGAGAGCACTGCCCACTGAATTGTCACTACAGCACCTATGTGCCCATTGGACATCAGTCTACTATAATCTATATATAATAACCTGGTTCAACCAAGATTATCTTGGGAGATACCACAATGAGAGGTGGTATGTCAAAGCTACAGGATCCCTTCTCTTTCCTTTCTTTGTGGATTGGTACCGCATTTGCTTTTTCCTGGTCCTCTGGTATCTCCCCACTTTTCCTTTATTTTAAAATGTATCAGTATCTTGGTAAATTTGATAACTAAATAAGTCTCTTAAGCTGGGACGCATATTGTCCAAATGCACTTATTCTATGTTTGTATTTTCCAGTATTCCTTTACCTGCTTTTTATGATGTTATTTCAGTCATATTTCTGATGGTTTGAACCTCTTTTATTCATTCTTCTTATTGAAGACATTTTTAAACGTTCTGTATCTCAGCCATTTTGAGTTCATCTCTTTCCTCTTTTTTTCCTTATAGACCTTTTTTATCCCAACATATTGGTTCAAAGCCCTTCTCATTCCCATTAACTTCTTTGGCTGGTGTAACTCATTTAAATATGTTATTGAACTCACCTTTTCCCCATAAGCCTTAACTGATTCTATATGTATTTATTTGTTCTTTCCTTCTATTTCCAACAATGAGCTTATTTTTTTAATCCTCAGATCTATTGAGTTAGTACCTGAACTATACTGACTGCTTCTTGTTCTTTTCCCAGCAGAACTCTGTGGTGTACCTTAATTATGTTATGTTTTAGTCTTCTCCAGCCTTCTTCCATGCTTGTGGATTTTAATACCTCTTGCCCTTGCATTGTGCTCATTCAATACTTTCATTCCTGAAAATTTGCTTTCCTTTATTCTGCTGCATTCTGTGCATTCTTACCTGACTTGGCTCAAGTTGAATATTTGTTATGACTGGCAATGGACTTCCCAATTGTCCTCCATTGTTCCTCCCAACTGGCTTCTCTTCTGCCTGGACCTCTGCTTTCTAGATCATAAAGTTGTTGTCTTTGTAACTTGGGAACATCTTTGCATATTTACGCTGATTATCCAATACACGTCTGGGTAGCTAAGTCCCTTGTGAGTACAATATACAGTGGTTTCAAGAACCTCCAGGAAATTTTCCATAATCCATCTTTTTTTTGTCCTGGGTGAGTCTGTAGCAGATGCAACCTATAATTTTGCCCCCTTTTAATCCACTGTATCATTGTCCCAATTACTTAACTACTACACTCTTCATTGTTAGCTTGTATTTCTCACTGGGATATTTCCTAATGTCTCACCCATTAAGAGTGAGATCTGTGGCAGTTCACTAGTTCTGTAGCTATGCCTTGCTCTCTCTCTTGCAAGACACCAATGACACACGTCTTCTGTTAGTGGAAGACATACCTAAGTAAGAGCTCATTGGCCTGAGAAAGGAGTGGGGCAGAGTTAGTGGAATGTACTCCCACCATTGGAGCCTGCCTCTTCTTCCTGCCATCTTAATATCCTGCTTGTGAAATAATTACAGTGTAGTAATCCATAATGGAGATTTAAAAATTTGCCCCACACTTTTCCCCATCATTGGGAGGTAAATCCATGCAGAGAGGTCACTGGGGTTTGCCCATGTGTTGTGCTCAATCACTAGCATTCCAAGGGAAGGCTTAAATCTGTGTTAGAGAGGCTGCAGTGAAAATTCACTGTAAGTTAGGTTCTGGTCTTACCTGTTTCTGATGCAGCTTGGAACATGAACTTGCCTCTGGTATGGACTTGACAGGCATGTGTGAATTTTTCATGTATTGTCCCTTGAACTGGGGGAAGAGAGAGACAGAATGAGTAACAGAGGGAAAGAGGAAGAGAAGTAGATAGAGAGGGGGAGAAACAACCAATGGGAGACAGAGGGACAGAAGTAGACAGGGTGAGAGACTGACAGACAAAGCAAGGTAGAGGTACACATGGAGCCAGTTTCCCTCAATCCCCCTCCCCCCCATCAGGAGAAAGTAAGACACTCACATGGACTGGGGAGAGAGCCCCTTTTGCAATGACCATGAAATCAGTCATGTGTAGGTTGTTGTCCAGCCCTGGGGGAGTGGGGGAAGGAATGTGGGTTGGGCAAAGTGTAGAATTGCACCACTGCAGAATTTTTCTTCCACACTTTAAATAGCCAGTACCTTTCACGACTGCTTTCACATTTCCCTCCAACCAGACCCTTGACAGCTCCTTCCTTAAGGTAACTGGCTCACTGTTTTCTTCTGCTTTCCTTCCCCAAACTCCTTTAGTTACCTTGTGGTTGGCTGTTTGTTTAATAATTTTCTAGTGTGTAAAATTTGTTTCTCTTATTCTTCTGAGGAATTGCTGTCAGATGCTTGGGAGTGTTCATTACTGCTGTGTGTGTGTGTGTACATACATGTATGTACACAAGCACACCTTCTGGAGTATGCTGGGGTAGAACCCCCACTCTTATGGCTATTTTTGGGGAACACAATTTGTTGTCATTGTTTTTCTGCTCTTTGTGAGAAATGGCTGTACAGGAGAATTAGACGGGGCTTTGACAAGTCGCCTCAGTGAGACACAGGAGAGATCAATGGCAGATGCTGCGTGCAGGAATGTGCTTCCATTGCTCAGATAGTTCTCAGCAATCCTTGCTTATCCACAGTACCTAAGTACCTGCAGCCATCCTCCTCCTCCTCCTCTGCTGATACGTCCTGCTGAGTTTTGCTGCCATTAGTACTCCTTATAGGGAATGAATAGGCATAAATATCCCATGAATTGCTGCAGCAAAATCATGGTACAATCTGCACCCCAATTCAATATGTCCCTGCAGTATTCTGAAAACACTGTAGGAATTTGCACTTAATTCAGTCCCAGTCTTTCTCAGTAAAAGACTTCTCTAGGGAACTTTGCAGGACAGTGAGCAAATAGGATTAAAGCAGCTGTGAGCTTTCCTACCTGCAGAAGCACTTTATTAAATAGTGTATGAGCACCAGCTCTGCAGGAATCCACAGCTACTGCAGTCCCAGCCTCTGCTAGCCGGAGTCACTGTAGGGAGTAGCATAGAAGCATTGCCTTTGGGCTGCTCACAGCTATTCGTTTCTAGCCTCACCTAGCAGACATTGTAAGGCAATGGCTTTAGGGAATGGAGCAGGGGCACTGGCCGGGGAGGAATTCACAGCTGTTGCCCCTCCTATGTTACACATAATTTCATAACTGCTCTGCCTTTTCCTCCCCTGTAAGCTGGACCTTTAAATCCCTGAGAACTCTGCTCTCTGCAGAGAGAGGCAGCTATTTTGAGAGGCAGAGCTGTCGCAGAGGAAACTCGCACTGTGCCCTCATCGAAGCTGTACTTTACTGATCGTTCTTGTTCTCCGAAAGGGACGCTGTCAGCGTGGAAAAAAATCACATTTCTGTCTGAAAAACTTGTATCTTCTCTTCTTACAAGTAACAGTGGTAAGATCGCTTCACCTGACAGTAAAAAAAAAAATATCACTTTTCCCTCTGTCAGTTTGTTTACTTTGTGCATATGATGGTGGTTGGTGCATGTGACATAACTGGATATAGTTAATTTCATTACTTCTCTGTGGACTTAGTTAATCAGCTTCCTCACTGGAAAAAACCCTTATAAACTACAACAGGGGAGTATAAAAATCTTGATAAAATATCTTCAAGACATTTAAAAAAATTAGTTAAGGCTTGTCTCCTACGTTTGTACAACTCCTGGGACAGTGTGGCCTCAGTCCAGATTGGGGCCTTTGGGTGCTAGATTAATATACATAACCAATAATATTAGTAATATACATAGCAAATAATATTAGTAATTAATATACGTAGCGAATAATAATTAGTAATATTTAAAGGATGCGCTTTCAGAACTGGAGTGTTTTGAAATGAGTCAGTTTTAAATGATAATAAAGAAGGTAGCACCCCTTAACTTCAATTTCACTGATTTATTTTGGATTAATGTAGGTGCTTTTAGTATATTGGAAAAAAACATAATATATCCTATCAGGAATTGTAAGGAATGATACAAGAGTAACTAGTGGGGTGTGTGTGTGTCTGTCTATGTCCCTCAGCCGCTCTAGCCTGAGAGAGAGAGGTAAATAGCGAGGTCCCCCAAGGATCTGTACTGGGACCAGTTCTGTTCAACACATTCATAAATGATCAGGAAAAAGGGTAAATGATGAGGTAGGAAAGTTTGCAGACGATACAGAATTACTCAAGATAGTTAGGTCCAAAGCTGACTGCGAAGAGTCACAAAACCAACAAAATGGCAGATGAAATTCAATGTAGGTAAGTGCAGAGAAAACCATCCCAACTATACATACAAAATGATGAGCTCTTGGAGCCATTGTGAAACAGCTGTTCAATGTGTAACGGCAGTCAGAAAAGATAACAATGTTAGGAACCATTAGGAAAGGGATAGATAATAAGCCAGAAAATATCACAATGTCACTATATAAATCCATGGTACACTTGCACCATGAATACTGCATGCATTCTGGTTGCCCCATCTCAAAAAACATATTAGAATGGGAAAAGGCACAGAGAGTGGTAACAAAAATGATTAGGGGTATGGAACAGCTTGCATAGAAGGAGAGATTAAAAAGACTAGGACTGCTCATCTTAGACAAGAGATGACTAAGGGGGGGGGATAAGATGAGAGGTTTATAAAATTAAGAATGGTACTGAGCAGGTGACTAAGGAAATTTTATTTAAGCCTTGACATAACACAAGAACTAGGAGTCACTTGATGAAATTAATAAGCAGCAGGTTTAAAACAAACATAAGGAAGTACTTCTCCACACAACACAGAGTTAACCCATGGAACTCATTGCCAGGGGATGCTGTGAAGGTCAAAAGTATAACTAGGTTAAAATAAGGACTAGATAAGTTCCTGGAGGATAGGTCCATCAGTGGCTATTAGCCAAGATGGTCAGGGATGCAACCCCATGCTCTGGGTGTCCCTAAGTCTCTGATGGCCAGAAGCTGACCCTGGATGATGGGAGATGGATCACTTGATAATTGCCCTGTTCCGTTCATTATCTCTGAAGCATCTGGCATTGGCCACTGTTGGAAGACAGGATACTTGGTTAAATGAACCACTGGTTTGACCCAGTATGTTCTTATAAATTTCTGACTTGTTGAATGACTTGTAAACATAATGCTGAAAAATGGTACCAATCCTTTGAAGGTGGGATGGATTACAGAGTCCCTGGGGCAGTTAGCAATGGAGAGACGATACCTGCTCATCCAGGCATGGAAAAGCAGAAGGAAGAAGAGAAGAATCAAACACTGGAACGAGGCCATTGGAACAACAAGCTGGAATATGTGCTATCCGTGGCTGGGGAGATTATTGGCCTTGGTAACGTCTGGAGGTTCCCTTACCTCTGTTACAAGAATGGTGGAGGTAAGTACAGCCCTAGCTCTAACCACTTATATCAGCTACCCCATCTAGCCACTGATTTCCCTCTGTTGTTCTCCATTGGCCTTAAAGCTTCATGGTCACTTGCATTTTGAATTGCTCTGTCTCTATCTGCACTTGAGAAATTTGTTTCCAAGAGGTGGTCAGTGAACTTGTTTGCACCTCAGGGGTATACACCTGTGTGTGCAGCGGGCCTGATTCCTAGAGGTGCTATGCTTGCCCAAGAAATGCATGTCCTTGGGGGGCAGAGACAGCCATATTCGCTTGGCACCATACATCTTGCAGTTTTTCAGAGTGTCAGTCTGTGCCAAATTTCCCACAAGTGCTCAGTGTGTTTGTCCACTGCTAGGAAGCTTGTTTCCTAGAGGTTTCCAGAGTCCACATCTGTGTCCCAGGGACCCATTTGCTGAAATGCCTGGGGTCTGGCTGTCTGTGCTCCAGAGGCCAATTTCCCAGCAGTGACCAAGCTGGAGTTCTTCGCATACAGGCCTGGCATATCTGCATATTTCCTGGAAACTCCCAATGAGTTAAGGACTCCTGGTGTAGTGCAGGGGTTCTCAACCTTTTTCTTTCTGAGCCCCCCCCCTATATGCTGAAAAAACTCCATGGCCCACCAGTGCCACAACAACTTTTTCTGCATATGAAACTAGAGCCGGTGTCAAGTATTGGGGGTAGCCGTGTTAGTCTGTATCTACAAAAACAACAAGGAGTCTGGTGGCACCTTAAAGTCTAACAGATTTATTTGGGCATAAGCTTTCGTGAGTAAAAACCTCACTTGCATCCAAAGAAGTGAGGTTTTTACTCACGAAAGCTTATGCCCAAATAAATCTGTTAGACTTTAAGGTGCCACCGGACTCCTTGTTGTTTTTGTAGATACAGACTAACACGGCTACCCCCAATACTTGACACCGGCTCTAGTTTCATATGCAGAATAAGGTGTTGGGGCACTTGTGGGCCCTGGAGTTTTTTCAGCATATGGGGGGGGGGGGGGCTGAGAAAGAAAAAGGTTGAGAACCCCTGCACTACACCAGGAGTCCTTAACTCATTGGGAGTTTCCAGGAAATATGCAGATATGCCAGGCCTGTATGCGAAGAACTCCAGCTTGGTCACTGCTGGGAAATTGTCCTCTGGAGCATAGACAGCCAGACCCCAGGCATTTCAGCAAATGGGTCCCTGGGACACAGATGTGGAC